CGGCGCCCCTGCTTGTGAAAGAAACTGCTTCTTGAGTTCCTCTTATTATTAATTGCAGCCTCAACCTCAATGCAGCATAAGTGTAAACGCAAGCCAAAGCTTTTTAGTACAGCAACAGAGACTGTTCAGTAAAGCGACTGGAAGGCAACCCAACACATCTGAGTGTAAACACTCCGATTGCTATGAGTCTTTGGAGCTCTAATTTTAGCATTGACTTCTTCATCCACAACATTTGTATTGACTCTTCAAAGTCTATCTCTGGCATCAGATTTTAACAGACCACCATTCCACTTATCAAGTTGACAGAAGGCACATCCCTATCATGACGAATACATGAACTGACTCGTTTGTGGAGCAGAATAAGACGGAGCTGAACAGAACCAAATGGTAGAACAGGAGGAGAGAACATTGTAGCCCCCGGGAGATAACAGTGGCTGCCACAGTGATACTGATCTAAATGAAAACAAACAGAGATAAGAGGGAGACTGGAATCACACTGGCACGCTCCGGAGTCCCTGCGTGTGTTTGTGTTTGCACACGAGCCCATGTGTAGCCTCCACACCTGCCCCGTGGTAGCGACCACCCATCAGATAGATATCAGCTTGAACAATTAGAGCGATGCCTCCACTCTCGCTAGATGAAGATTCTCAGTGGTATAGTGTGGAGTTTAATTTTGGGGCCCTTAATTTTTTATGAGGTATCAATTTGGAATCTTGAGTAGGAGATTTGCGTGTGTGCTTTTTATGTCACTCGAGGGACATCAATCCACATATCAGCGAGAACAGATGAAGAAGTCAGTCAGTTATGGCTGAAAGCGTGTCTCCGAGACACAGAGGTAATACTTCTGCTCTGAAGTCAGATGAAACAGAGATTCTGGTTTGGGGCCCAAAACCCCATTGGACATAACTCCCACAGCTTTTACAGTTAATCTGGTTGATGCTCCCACTAAGGCTCTCATATTTTGTGATCACACACCAAGGAGCAATAACTGATCCAGTAATCTTATTTAATATCTCTATCAAAAATTCAGACGATATGCCACTAGGGAAATTAGGACAGTTTGGTATTTGCGTTTCCGGAGGTCAGATTGATAGCGCAAAGAACTAGTGAGATATAATCTATAGTGATCTGGATTTTGTCAAAGCAGGTCATCCTGAACAAAAAGTTCATTTAAACTGTTAAAGAGGCCCTGATTAGTTGAGCTATTGAAATGCTTTCTGAAAAGGCCCGTCCTGAATCTATAATTACATTTCCATTAGTTTAACATGAAAGAGTAGTAGTTTTACTTTATGGTAAAAATTAAGGATAAAACATTGACTGCATTATTATATTCGTCTGGCTGCAAACATATTTAGAAACATTTGTGTGACAGTTTTAGTGGTAACAACATTTGTAACACCTCCTTAACCACTCTTTCTATTAAGAGTATGCCAAGTCTTGAGTGTTAGATTGGAGTCTAATATTCATTCCACATCTTTTATGGAGACATGTATGCACTCACATAAAAAGAGTCTGATGGTCTGATTAATCCACTTCAGGAGAAACCATTATCACAAGAACAATTGGTGTGTCTATCCTTGTGGAGTGTCCATCCATCAATGTCACCGCTACTTATTATTCGCCATTGCCTCAGGAGGTCCACATTTAGCCACTATGGACACCCTTACTGTCAGAATTCAGTGATTCTGGCTTGCATTCAAGTGTTGTTTTTTTTTGTTTTTTTTCAGGAATTTACTATAATAAACCAAAATAATTTTCTACAAGTTGTTATTTGCAGATCAAAGTAGAGTGTTTTGGTAGTGTGTGTCAGCGTGTGTTTTTAAAACCCTCACAGATAGATGTCAATGCCTGTATTTTAAGTGAGTTTTTGGTGCTTTCGCAGTGTTTCATAATTCTGCGGTCATCAGGCAGTGATTGCTGCCTACATGTGAAGTGACCGTCTGCACAATGAGTCATCATTCACACTGAACACTGACAGTGTGGAGAACTCAGTGTTCTTCACAAATGCAAGGAAGACATCAAAGCTAAAACTTTTAAAATGTTTGCTAACAGTAAACAAAATGGAGTTCTGGAATGCTTGTTCATCTAGCCCTGTCAGTGACACAAACACATATAAGTACTTACCTCATTCCTATGACATTTCTCCAGTATCCCTCCACCTTCATTTTTAATTTTAACCATTTTCATTTAAGTAAGCTTGAGCTTAGTGTCATACGCCCTCCTTCATTAGATGGACATGCAAACTAGTGAAACACAGTACATATAGTATATGCTCACACAGCAGCAAATAAGGATACAGTACATTTATTCACAGTTTTTAAATGACAGTGACTTGACTATTTTTAATAACCACATGACACTTTAAGTGACTTTGTGCAAGTCACATCATTAGACCAGTAGATGAAGACAAGTGATTAATGAGTGCGTCATTAAATAATTTGCTGCATCTGAATATGTTTACCTTGTTACTATATATGTGAAAAACGCATGAACAGAGTAGTAAGTCCGAATTCAGAATAAACAGTAGGCGAAAAGTACCCGGATGACCTACTACTTCCCCAGACATTCCAAATTTCATTCATATCACCCATATTCATATTATTATTTAATGATTTGTTAAAATATATATATTAATGAATCAAAAAGATGAGTCTTTGAATCATTCACTCAACTGATTTGTTCAACAATACTGATTCATTCGGAAACTAAACAAAATTGACTGCCTATGAGTGAGTCATTTAATAATTCACTCAAACAAATTGATTTGTTCAGAAATGTAGCACCACTGTTGTGTTGCTCAGATAGCAACAGTTGATTTTGCTTTGGCTGGAACTATTTCTGTTGGCGGAGCTAAAATACACAGACCATCTGTGTATAAAATTAAATTGAATCAAAATTCTTGTTTACTAAACTGCTAAATAAAATCGGTACCACTCTCACAGACCATTGTGCTGTTGGTCTGAAAATCAGCAAAGCAGTGATTCTCTTATGAATCTGAAAAACAACACTCTTGCTTAATTGTTGCTGTGTTTACAGGTGTTGCTCATTAATTTTTATTTTTTTACCCCATTCAGACAGCATTGAGTTTCTCATGTAAGCTGTTGTATGAACAGGACAATTTAAGTGAAACATGTTTGTAAATTAATTTGGCAGACATATTTCAGCAGATGATGTTTGATAAATCTCAAATTAGAAAATGCTAGTACGGTAAAATTCTGTGTAAAATGTATATACTCACTATGGTTTTCACCAACTTGACATGGTGAACTCAATCAGCGACAGTATTTTTAGTCTTTTCAATGGCATTCACAGACTTTGTAGTGGCTGTGATTACATTATGTGGTGTTATAATAAAGAAGCACTCATTTTTGTTAGTGATGGCCATGCATTGCTGTTTGAAATATGGGCTCTCTGAAAACCCACAAGCCTTAACACTTCTACAGCTCAGTATTGTCACACACAGTGTTTTCGAGTCCATGATTTTATTCTTCCGCTGAGGTCAACACAACAGGCTACATGCTCATAATCAGCATTCATATCCTTCATGAATATGAGTTTGTTCAAAAATTAAGTTGTGACTATGACAGGAAAGCATTTTTTTGTGGCTGCAATTTCACATGAACTCATTATGTTCAAGGTGAATCAACAAAGAATGGCATTCCAGTGCTGTTCCCTGTTAATCTTTAATAAGCTGAATGCTGTATCAGTCCTGATAAGTTGAAGGTGGATATCCAAGCACACAGCCTTCTCTAGTGTGAATTATCTTATTAAATCAGTGTAATTGTGTATCTGTTTATGTTTTTGATTAAAGTCTTGTGCACACCTAGAAAGGAAATCTGCATGAATAAGACTTTGAATTAAGCATAAATACATTTATATCAACACACCAATGACAACATGCTTTTTTTCCTAGAGAATGATTTTATATATTTTTATTTCTAATATTGAGGGTCTCAAAGTCTCAAAGCATGAAAATGCATAATGGTACAAGCAGGTCAAAAAAAAAGATATATAAAAGCGATTTGTAATAAAATAGAGATGTGTGTTTATTTTATTCAGCATACTGTATATTTATACACTACCCACCTAGCACACTTTTATTACAACAGCTATTCTATTAATTCTAACAGTACACCTCAGACGTGGGAAACCTGTGTTTCATGGAGTGATGCTTCATTTGAAGGACCATCCATAGATCACAGATCATAACAATCTATCAAACACTAACTGCACCACAGTCGCAAAGAATAAAGATGTTGACATTAGTTCTCAGCGGATGAAGCGGAGACTAAACAGAGGCTGTTTTCAGAATCATTTATCAGATGAATAAACATTCACACTTTTGATGTATAACCTTGTGCCGCCCTGTAATGGAAAAGTGATCATCAAGCAGAAAGTTCGTGAGCGAGCACTACTTCGACTTTAATTATTTTTCTGTTTCCTCTACCCCTCCTACAGTTCTCCATCCCATCTTTTCTTTAAGAGGTTTCCTGCCAGAGCTGTGCAAAGGTTGAAGTGGATGATGAAGAGGCTGAGCAGGGGGCCTGGCAGTGCTGCATCCCACACAGGCGCCTCTCTTGTGGGCATGCCGAGAGGGACATGGCCCCCGTGATGGAAGGTTGCTGGCAGTCTGGAGCCGGAACTACAGAGGGAAAAGGCTCATTCATTAATCTACCTTACTACCTTCTATATACCTGTCTGTTTTCTCCCCCC